CACACACACACACACACACAAAGAGTGATCAGGTGGCGTCGGTAGCCTAGTGGTCAAGGTACCGGATTCTTAATTGTGAGATTGCGGGTTCCGGGGTTCGAGCCTCAGCTTGGTCCGACGTTTTGTAGTTGGGAAAGGCACTTAACACGTATTTCCCACTTGGCTCGATCCTTTCATAGACGAACGTCAAACTCGGAGGTCCCGCCTCTTACATACATATTATAATCGTGTTGATAGGGGCGTTAAACCCACACCGTTTCAAGAGTGTGATCAGATACTTTAGCTAGAAGTTATGATGTCTATAAAACCTCTTTTAATTTGCACTGAACGGTTCAATGAAATTGAATGAGTTTATTATTTTGGTGACCTAGGTCCTGAGCACACCACAGACACTTCTTCTTTTTTCCTCCGTTCACCTCCTTTCCTGCACTCTAGTCAGTGGGTGGTTGGCGGGTGCTCTTGTGTGGTTTGCTTCTTCTTTCCAATCAAACATCTATCAGTGGGTGGTTGGCGGGTGCACTAGCGTGGCTTGCTTCTTCTTGCATTTGAAACAACTATCGCCCTTATCTCCCCTTCTTCTTTTTTATGTTTATTACTCTCTTGCAACACCTCTAATCTTCTTGAGCTCAATATGACCTAATGCAGTTGCGAGCGCCGTAAGACCTCTGCTAAAACAGCACTCTAGTCATGTTCTGTCATCTGTTTTCATCTCCACTTTCTGTCCTCCCCGCTCCTCCCCCTGGGCTCCTGTTTCTTTCTACTGCTATTCCCGGCTCTTCCTTTCTGCTGAGCTGTCTTTCAGCCACATCCCCGATCTTAGGGCAGGTTCGATCAGACCCTTAACATTCTCGGATAAGGGTGTTAAATGTCACGGCCACCACCGGGCGGGGCGAATTCAAAATTAATTCCAACCAAAACTGAAAATGCTGAATGTGAAAACAACCAACTTGTGTCCCTCTTGCACCGTAAAACTCTTACCAAACGAATTAAAACACAACTTCCAAGTGGTTTTTTTTTGTTGCTTCTTTTCTTCCCCTACATGGTGGCATGGCAGCGTGCCAGACGAATTGAACTCGTTGGCCAGATCTGGTCCGCAGGCCGTAGTTTGTTGACCCTTGCCTTAGATAAAAGCCCAACACAGCGCTGACAAATAATTCAAAGCGGCAGTGGTCTACGTGAACTTTGGTTTCCAAACAGTGGGACTCCAATAGTAGAATCCTAAAGAAGTTCAAAAGCGCGCTTACAATTAAATTTCACATCGGGTTTGCTTGCCACTATGCTGACACAGTCAAATTAGCGGGTGGTTGGAGGGCGTCCCGGACTTGGTATTGATCTCCTACCTCTGTTGTTTCTGTATGTCTGTCGTGCTTTTTTCCCGGATCTAAAAGGACGTTATTGTATCGATATGCTTCTGATGACATCAGAAATATGAATTTTTATATGCGCAGTATGCATGTTGTTGCCTGTCTTTTTGAAGTTTCAGACAAAGAAAACAGAATGGAAAAATCTCTTTATGAATATCAAAGTTATGTCTCTTTTTTTAAAGAACTCCCCAAACAGCGCGTCTTCATTGTGTGAATGGGATCAGGTTTTTAAGTTTTGTCAGAAGAGAGAAAAACGCATACTTGTAATGTGGAATATAAAGTCGAGAATGTCAGCCAACCTGTACTTTTGCTTTTCTCTTCGCTGATCTGCAAGCTCTTATCTTATGCAGTGTTCTTTGTTTATTTGTATGTGCGCTTTCTTTCTTCTTTAAAAAAAAATTATTTATTCCCGATATCGCCGGTAAGCACTAGATCCAGAGAGCACAGCTTTAAAGCAGAGAGAAAAACGTTCATCGTTTTGATAATTGTGCCTAAATTATGTACATTTTCATGCTCATTTCAACATTTAGCATTTGAGTTTCGGCACAAAATGTCTTGAGCACCCGCAACCGATACCACAGATTAAGAAACTGCTGTGTTCTTTTTCTTCTTCTTTA